GTGGCGGGAGATTTCTGCTACCTTGAAAGGGTGGAGGACTGCGATGACTTTGTACTTGTTGCGGCAGCTAGATGTCTGCTGTACAGGAATCGGTTCTCGGCTCAAGTGGCGTTACGTCCGCTCGTCACAGGTCCACAGCACACTTTGGCTGGAGCTGCGAGAATACGCTGCCAAAGAGATTCTGCACCATTGCAACACGAAGGATGAATGATTGGAAAGTCCCAAGTCACTCATGCAGATACTGCCCCGGCGCTGCACTGAAGCTCTTTTCGCACCAAGCTCAGTGCCGGCAAGAAATAAACCGAAACGCCAGGATGCCGAAGAGAACACAAATGACCCGAGTGCTGGTTGATTATCCAGAAAGCCTTCTTATCTGTAGCCGACCTTGTCCCCATCGCAGAGGACTCTACTTTACTTGTTTCCTCCTGGCCCGAAAGACCTACAGCACAAATCCTGCGTCAGCACGCTTTCCTCCACACTGCTTGCGCGAATCCCGAGTGCAAGATCGGAAATGCTCTGGTACTCAAACTACCAGAGAAGCAAAAATCCGAATACAAGCCGGGCACCTGTGCACTTGTGCACATCTCCCGTAGGACATGAGAGCTACTTTGGCAATGGGATGCTGCACAGCATCCTAAAGAATGTGGGCCAACTGCCGCTGCCCCACTGATCACATTCTTTTGCTTGGTTGCACATCTACCTGTTGCCTGCTTTTGCCTTTGTGGATCCGCAAATGAGTCACGCACCTTGCTTTGAAACGTCCTCCTCTTGTTCCCACTGCTGCACACAGTCTTGCGTGGTTAGGTTTGGAACTTGATGCATCGACCTCCCGATTGCTTTCAGCATTTAGTATCAGGTGGCTTCAGTCCACGCTCACAGACACCGGCGCAGGCCTTTGGATGAGGAGACTTCTTCCGTGTGCTTGGCAAGTGCCGCAGCATCTTGCAGTGAGGCCGCGGCTTGCTCTCTGTTTCTTCCGCGTTGGACTCCTCCCCAACGATGGCTTCAACAGCAAGGAGCGACTTTGGAAACATAAGGTCTGTCCTGTGAGAAGACCCGCTGATGATCCTGGGCCAGCTCAGAACACTTTCGGCTTCAGTGTGCTGCCTTCACTTTTCATGCGAGGAGTCAGGAGGCCTTCATTATGTCGAGGACGAATCCAAGCTGGCGTTGTCTCTGGGCGTTGGTGTAGAGGCTGGCATGGGTCAGAGCACCGAGACTGCAACTTGACCAACTTAAACGGATCCAGGCCAGGCCCACTCCAGCACCTGATCTTTCGACAGACCCCGAGCCATGTCCTCCTCTGTCAAGTGACGGCCTGCGCGTGCTCTCAGGAAACCAGAATCCAGCTGCAAAGCTCCGAACAAGCACCTCCATTCGGTGCTGCAGCAATGATGAGGGAGTTGAAGGCTTCTTCCTCAATTCGTCAGCAAGACGCGGAGACCCCTGAGTCGTTGAGGACTGAACTACACAAGACTTAGAATTCTCGCGGGTATCTGAGTCCCGCCACGCCCATTTCTGTTCCCTCCGTGGCGAGCTGTACAGCCGAAGTCTCTTTGAAGTTCCAGAAGCCATCCTGAAAGCAACTGGGGGAGGGCGCAAATTGCAAGCATAAGATAGGCCCAGCAAGAAAGACGTGCGTGTGTGTCATGCAGTAGCTCCACCGTGCCAGTAGCTGAAAAAGCTCGCGATCCGGCCTCGTCCTGATCGAAATGGAGGAAGAGCTCCTTGCTTCCAGAGCTGTGCTGCCTCAATTTCTCTTCAAGATCTTCAAGTGTGCATGCTCCTCCGCCAGCTTGAGGGTCTCATTGGTCTTTGTCACATTCGCCCACAAGTCCTGTGATGCTTCACACTGCGCAGAGACTCCATCCATGCCAAGGACCTCTTCCAGAAGCCAACAGCCCAAAGCAAATTCTGGCATGACTCGCTGCCTGCGCAGTGTTGCCTGCACCAATCTGGATCAATGGAGCCTTGAATCTCGCCGCAGCCCGACCAAGCACTCAGATGCCATGACGGGCAAGGCCCCGGCCTGGATCAGGTCTGGGTTGTTCTGGTAAAGCGACCAGACATCGTCTTCTGAGCCTGGCGGGCGCACGGTGGCCCCAGCCACAGTTGGTACAGTCATGCGCGCGCCTGCGACGCTGCTGTCGTGGCCTTCTTGCAGGGCCTTCAGCAAGGCCTGGTGGAAGCCCTACTGAATATGTGAATCAGGCTCGCCGTTTGGGCCGTGCCATGCCCCACGGATCCTCGGCCAAGGCTGTCTCACTCCCGGCTTTTGCCAACGCTTCGTCCTGCCAAGAGGGTTGGAATCTTCGGCCCCGACAGGATCTGCCAGGAGGCACTAATGCAGCTGTCCGAAATGTCGACGCTGCGCAGGTTCTGCATGCCGTCAAATCTTGGCGGGCCCAAGCTGCGAAATCACACATTTGCCTGTGGGATCCTGTGGGTGCCAGAACGGTGCCGACATGAAAGCACTGTCGAGCTCCCCACGTGACTGTTGCAGCGCCATCCAACGCAGATGCCTTCGTTTCGTGTGTCAGACTTCCACTCGCTGTGACACAGATGTTTCTGATGGCGCCGTTCACGTCTTGCAAGGGTCAAAGTGGGATCGGTGCGTACATTTCGATGACTTGACTGAAATCCAAAGTATTTAGAAGAAAAATGGATGGAAACCACGAGAAGTGCCGTGCCTTGAACTCGCTCTGCTCCATCCGGACACCCAGCCCTTTCATATCGTGACCCGCTGCGACCTGTGCCTCGAACAGGAAAAAACTGACCTTGCGTGAAGAACCGGCAGGCCCTTGTCATTGCCTGGATCAGCTTCAGGCTCGCTTTGGACTGCAGGGCCTAGGAGCAGCGCGCGGATGCATCGCAAACTGTCGTGCGATGACACAGAATCTGGCGAAGCAGGATCAGTCTTTGGAGTCTTTGGAAGCCATGCCGTTTAGGTGAGGCAACAAGTGGCTCGGCCCTAGCCCAAGCTTCTGTAGGCCTTTCTGTGGGTGAGACCTGAACCGTCCACGCCCGTGCCACTGTATTTCATGTTGTTCCTGCCACCTGCCTCCCCAACTGATCCGCACAGTGGCAACTCTCGAGAAGCACGTTTCCGGACACGAGATTTGTGCAACGTGTGTGCTTCTGGAGATTGTGCAAGACTGTGCAATGAATCTGGCGGTTGCGAGGATGCTGTGTGCTCGCATGCCCGGAGATTGCTTGTGATTTTCTTCAAAACATTTCAAAACATCATCTGGCTAAATGACCCCTCGTCGTAAACCTCGATAAATTCAACGATGTGCCTGCAACTGAACTACAAGCAGTGTCTGCTGGGCACTTCGAGCAGCCAGCCGGAAGTTCCGATGAGGATGCAGGCCGGGAGACAAGCCTGCCCCACGCGAAATGGGACCGAAGTACGGGCTTGGGTCCTGTGCAGCACCACTCGAAATCGTCTTGCCCAAGCACCTTCTCCTCGCTGGCGTGTGGATCGTGGAGCCGGAAAAAGCAACCTCACAGCGCGACACAACGCCTGCAAATTGCGCAGGCCATTCGGCAAGATCCACTCTGCGCCAGGCCCAGCAATCCACCACTACCAATAGAAATACGGCACCACCATTGCTATGACGACGACACAAGTACGAGTACACACGACCAGCGACATCGACTACCGCGGCCCCCACTGCGATCACTCGAAAATTACTCTGATCCCTTCGATTTGCCAATACTGCTGGTGCTCGTGCACCAACATGGTGCAAGGGCGAAAGTGATCCTACCCCCTCCCGCCAGTGGTCCAAGAGCTGGACTGCGAGTTGCGCGACCATCGGGGACAACGCAGCCTTGCTAGCATGGCGAGCCCGTGCAGACAGGTGCCTGTCCAACGATTGGGGAGCCGACGGCCATAAGCCAGGGCCCCAGTCTTCGACGAAGTCCCGGGCGACATCCTGGTGATGCGTTCTGCTAAGATCTCCACCAACAATCCCAAAAGACTGCACTGTAGCCCAGCACTGTGGTTTCCTTTGTCCCAGAGTCCCAGAGGAAGGGGCTAGCACGCAGCTTTGCAACAGATGCGGCATGCCCCTCACAAGGTAAAAGACTCTTGCGGTGGCGTCAACAAGCCGTCAACGCCCCAGCATTAAGAGTCCTCTCTCGCGCATGTTGCTCCCTTTGGAGTCTTCGAATTGACCATGCTGCCGTCGTCACTTCGCAGCGTAGGTGTGTTCTCAGAGTGCAAAGTGAATGTTCGAATTTGGAGCAGGCCTGTTGCCGAAATGCTGTACTTCAGCGGTCCTGCTGAAACGACAGTCACTGTACTACTCAACTGGGTCAAACTGTGCCACTCAAGATGAAAAACATGCAGCCACGCCCCATCTCTAGATCAAAGGGACGACAAGGCTTATACTAATTACGTCTCCGCGACTCTGCACGTGCGCGTCCACAAGACTAATCTGCGACGGCCTGTAAAGAAAGCCCGCGATCAAGCACCGCCAAGCTTGCTGCTGCGAAGTGCTCCTGAATTCGCCACCTGGAGTATGAGATCTGTAGCTCGCCGGACGCCACCTTGGCGGGACTGCAACACAGGAGTCGTGTCGTGCGTGGTCCTCGTACCCTTCCGCCTTCCGCAGAGGACCCAGCTGTCGTCTGAGCTGATTAGAACACCCGCTCTAGGTTTGCCAAGGCACCTGCAGACTGCATCTTCAAAGAGCACTCGTTCGCTTTGGTCTTAAACTCCGGGTTCCTGTGGACCTCCTGGACAGCTGCCGCGACGTCGCGTCGGTACTTGGCAGCCACCTGTGATGCCTCGCTCAGATCGCACATAGGTCGCTCGATTTGCAGGCCGACACCAAGCTGGACAGCCTTCTGAGCATTAACAGGTTGGTCTGCAAATCCTGGGCAAACAACAACCGGAGTGCCCGTGCTCAGGGATTCCATGAAGCTGTTTTGGCCTCCGTGTGTCAGGAACAAGTCCACGCCCTCCTTTAAGATGTCAACTTGTGGCATAACCGGCAAGCATGCAGCGTTCGCCGGAGCCACGAGGTTCTCGAGTGCATCTGGTTGTGGCCCCAAAGAGACCAACAGCAGCGGACCCTCGTCAGCGCTGTCTGTGCCGAAGGCATCGAAAAGACCACCCCAAGCGGCTTGGCAAAGCTCTTTGCCGGTCAAGCCCTGAAAAACTCCATCGACGGACCTTGGCTATTCCTCAGACCCTCTCACAACACACTTTGCGCTCTCTGTCCCTGCTTACGAAAGAAGAACCACAAGACGGTGTGCAGCCGGGTGGCATGTGGTTGGCCCAGCCAACTTCCGGGCTGTCTCCTGTAATGACCGTTCCCATGCTCGCAAAAATCACCTTTCGACCCGCTTCGCGGGCCTTGCGCATCAAGGCTACGGGATCGATGGGGGCCGTTTCTGCGGATTGTGGCGGCTCAAGGCCCTTGGTAGACTCGGCCTCCTTCCCGGCCTCCTTCTGGAACTTGTGCCCTGCTGCTCGCTTGGCTCCGGCCTTGTCCAGCAGCGGCCCGACGAAGACAAACTCCGTCTGCGCTTCTTCGTAGATCTTCTCCAACTCTGGGGACAGGGGGTCCGCCAGGAAGTCCACGGTGGTGACCAGGGTCAGTGCCGATTGCTTTGCGACCACCGACATGCCTACTGGTGCCATCTCCTCATCGAGCTCGATCTCTAAGCCATATTTGGCCCGCAAGCGATCAACAGCTTCAAGCAGAGGTTGATAGGCACGGCGCTCCTGAGGGTCAAGAGCAAACATCTTCCGGAGCAGGCTTTTCCGCTAGACATCCTACACACGCTCCAGCCTTACTTGTAGCCTTTTGGCACAGCTCTCCTTCAAGCACCGCTCAGTGGTGTAGCCCATCTTCTCCAGCCATTCCAAAGTCGCCAAGCGCAGGCTTCCCGGCCCAGCTGTTGTCATGATACCGACGCACGGTATGCCCAGAATTTGCGCAGCCCAACAGGCCTCCTTGTTCATCAGAGGGCAAAGGACGACCACATCCACGCCGACTTTCTCAAGCCAACGTAGAATGCCGGGCAGCATCATCTCCTGCATAATTTCCCGGATCTTGAACATCGCGACAAACAGAGGGTCCTCTTCCAAGCCATACTCCTTTTGAAGGTCCGACAAGCACCCGAAAATGTCAACGTTTCTGCCCTCATACATCTCGGGCAGTTCTTCGATCTCCGAGTGGAAGGTGGCCCCCGTGTCCTCAATGGCGTCCTTCATCTGCTCCCTGCAGAGGTAGTGGACTTCCTGGCCTTCCTCTACCAAAGTACGTGCGACAGGTAGGGATGGGTTGATGTGGCCCGAGGCCATGGGAAAGATGAAGCCAAACTTTCGCGCAGGGGTGACCATCCTGAGAGCTGCGAGGAGTCCAAAAAGGGTCGGGCTGAGCTTTTCTCTGAGAGCTGAAATGCGCTGGTACAGTCAGTCGAGAAAGCAGGCGCAGCAAAACTCAAGTTGCACAAACGCTTGAAGACTTTCTGGACCAGGCATCAGCAGAACATGAAGTCACTTTTTGGGAAATGGGGAAAGACCGGAAAACAGCCGCTAGCCTCGTGTGCCTTGCGCCATGATCCTCAAACAAGGCTTGCAGGCCCAAAATCACACGCTGACCTTGCGTGGCGATTGTGCAACTCCACCAGAGTGCTTGATTGTCGCTGTGGTGTCAAAGTGTTCGCTGCTCTTTTAAAGTGCGCAGATCCATAACCGTGGCTTCGTCTCGGGCAGGCCAGGGCCTTGAACCAAGTTTCCCCAGCATGCTGGTGGATGTCTAGCAGAGGTGACTGCACGTCCAGAACAGGCGTCACTACCTACACTGACCTACACATCTTGATGACGGCACTCATAGCATTCGGCGATGCTTTCATGTCTGCAGTCCCTGTTGCTTTAGAAATGCACTAACCAAAGCCGCAAAGAGAACTCGGAAAGCCGGCAAGCACAGTTTTGAACTCTCCAGCAAGCGGTTGGAACCGCAGTGCAGACCACATAGCTGTCGTCCTGCGACGAGCATGGCTAGTCCGAGCTGCACATGGTAAAGTGTGCTGGCCATGGGCCAATTCCCTATGACCTGCGATGCCCTCGACGCGCAGAGCGCAAGCTGTGGCATGCTGATTTCCGACAGTCTCGGACTTGGTACTTCCTTGGGGACCTTGCTGAATCCTGGCTTGAGCTCCCAACCGCTTCGTTCAACGCTCCCAGATCGACTGCTTGCCCTTGTGCCGGTTGTCCACCCAGACCTGGCAGGTGTTGCGAAGTCGGCTCTGGGCCTACGTCGTTTCGACTCTGACGAATCGCACAAGGCTGGCAAGGCTAGGGCATGAGTGAAAGGGCTTCTAGCGCTGAGATCGCTGGCATTGCCGTGAACACTTGCCGGGATGTCGATCTTGTATGGGCTGCTAGCCTTATCCTGGCATGGCAGCCGGATGGTATGAAGTGTTTTCTTGCTTGAGAAATCCGCGGAGCATCCCGGGTGTCTATGCACACGCCGGATTCAAGACTTCTGCGCTTCCGGATGCCTCAAGCTGGTAGTGCCCGCAGGAGAATCGCCCGTTGCCTCGGAGGCTCTCAGAGGACAAGACGCAAACTCGAAATGGCTGCAACCTGCACCTGCACGCTATGACAGGCCTCAGGCCCAGGCCATGCTGTTTGACATTTAGGCGTATGGGATCACGACCTCCCAGATGAAGAAAAGGGATTCGTAGTGACATCGTTTCCGTCAGCCTACACCTCGTAATGTCAGGATTTTGAGAAGGCCTCTCTTGGACAAGGCAACATCGAGCTGCCCACGGCTCGTGTTGCGCGCCCTGGCACCGGCGCAAAAAAAACAGAATCTGCAATAATCTGCACATGTGGACTCGGTGTGGTGCAGGCGCTTTCCGACCCGGCTTGTAATGAGGTCCAGAACTGAAAACGCGCCAGTCTCACCATTGTACTGACACTTTGTTGCCCATGGTGTCATGCCTTGCAGCATTCTTCCCGAGTAAGCGTGCATCGCAAGTCATGGAGACATCCTCTACATGGGTTTTGGCCGTTGCAGACAAAGCACCTTTGCAGCTCGCTCTACATACGGTACCATCGGCACGAGAGCTCTGTCGGGATATCTGTACAGTCTGTACACCAAATCCCTCAATTCATCATGCCTACCTGGAAGGCACCCATGCGGCCACGACGTACACAAAGCCAATTCACGCACCCATGCGGCATGTGAGAGCGCATGACATCCCCACATTCTTTGACCCCACCATCTCCATGCACCCCCTGCCAAGGTGCCAGTCTCCAAGGAAGTCCTCCAAGGTCAAGCAGAGTTCCTCGGACCGCCTGCCGAAAACTCATGAGAGACATGCGAGGAAGGTCAGAGCCTAGTGTACAAGCAGTGCCCAGAGGCACAACGAGAGCCCCTAGAAGCCACAGAAGCCTTGTACGGCCCCCACACTCCCTCCGTGCTCCCGTGCCTCTCGGGCTTTGGAGGTGGGGGTCCTGGAACCGGCGGCAAGTACGGTGACATCATGGGCCTCAGCACAGTGCTGAAGGCTGGCTCGAGTCACGGGGCCGACTTTCCTCGTGATGGTCCAGAAGGCATGTCGGACTGTGGAAGACGTGTCAGGGCCCTGTGGCCTGTGGTACAAAGACAGGTTCCCCAAACCTCTGGAACCGGCAAGCTGCAGGACATGCAATGAGACCATTTTTCAAGATGCCGCACTGCTGCGAAGCTCAAGCTGATGAAACACGGCCGACGAGTCCAACCTGGAGGCCATAAAACTACAGTGACTACAGTCAGTAGCACACATCGCAGCGTCTGCGCCCTTAATGTACTGCTTGCACCGAGTTCCAGGGTGGAGTCAGATAAGCCGCTTGGTGCATCGGGCCGGTCAACATAAACGACAAATGTGTTGGCAAATTTCCCGTCGAAGGCGAGGGTGCTCTATCGATTACGCGACCACGATACCATAATTCATGTTCTCTCTCTCGTTATATATACATATATCGCCAGACGTCAGATCTATTTCAACGTCAAGGCCCAAAGCTCACTCTCTGGGCATGCTCGAGCATTGTTCGACGGATGCCTGCTCCAAACACTGACGAATGGTCTCTAGTGGCAACGGAGTTTCGAGAGTTTTCGCAGACTTGCTCGCTGCATTCGACCATCCAGTCTATTCAGCAAAGGTGCTTGGCGTGGATCTTTGGCCAAGAGATTCCATGTAAAGAAAATACCTGGCACACAGGTGCTGGCATCTAGTCCAGCACGTCAATCAAAGCCGGCTCTGGCAATGTGAGCAAAACGATTTTCTCGATTCTCCTGTGCGCGCATGCTCCACCTAAGGACCGGACAAGGTATCGCTCATCACGCAACCGCCCAGCCAGCGGTCACCTGCGGAGAACCTGCAGTCGAACTTGCGCGACTCCAACTCTTTGCTAGCCAATCCCTGCGCCCCTAGGGCCCTAGGGCCTTGGAAGCTGTAAATCGATGAACTTCACGGCCCCTTCGTCTGCATTCAAGCGGAATCCACGGAGGGTCTCCTGCACAGAGTGGGTTAATGCATGGGGTAGAGTCTGCTACAGAGAGCCGACCAGCTTCGATGTCCTCTCTTGCTGAGAAGGTGAACATCCAAGATCTCTGAGTCCTTAGCGGCCGGGAAGGAAAAACGTCGAAAACGCCAAAACAACAAATCGAACTACATACAAGTACGAGTAACTAAGAAAAGTAAGCTCCCGCTGTGACTGAGCATCGGCCACATGACAAGGCCATCCCCTCGTCCAGCCACGTCGTAACTCCTTCGCGGAATCAGATCCTGGGCTTGGCTCACCATGTTTTGACCGGACTGCTGCGACGTGTCTATGCTGTTGCATCCTTCTCGTGCCTGCTGAGTTTGATCGCAAGGCTCGCAAGTCTCGTGGTCACAGTGCGGTTGCAACTGCACCACATCCTCGGTAGGTTCCTCGAACGTGGTGTTGGATGTTCTCAAAGCCCATGGTCCCTGTCGGAGACGCCCAAGAATTCCGAGATATTGCGAGGCTGAGGTATTCAGTAGTCTGATTGCCGCAACAACGCCAGGGTAGTGGGTCGGCCAGGGGCCACGCCTCGCTGGCCAGGCTCCTGCGAAAGATTTGGGACTCTCGCAAGGCATGCGAAAGGCTCCGAGGCTCCTGAAAGGACCCCCAAGTACTCGGCTGATCTTGGCCAGGCCGGGGCCGGTCATGGGGCAGCGCAGCACCTGAGAGCCTCACAGAAAAAATAGCAGAAAAAATCTCCGCTCTTAGGACAAACCCGCCTCTCGCGGAGAGCAACCAGACGGTGCAGTCCGTCGCTGCCTCGCGCAAGGACAACGTGTTGCCAAAACTCGACACAAAAGATCATCAAATCCGGTTTGGAAGGGAGGCGAGTCTCGCCTTGCAAGTCTTCTGTTGAAAGCACTCTGGGTCCCGGGCCTCACTGCTCCTGTCGCACTGGATGCTGGCGCTGCGAATGCCTTGTGCCTGGAAAGCCTGTCAGAGGACGCATGCAACGAAACACGCGCATGACCTCACAAGCGAAAAGTAAGTCGACTTCCACCCTGTCAAACCCTGGTGGTGGACACTTGGACACCTATTTGTGGTTGCAATCGCAACTCAGCACTCGCAACTAATCCCAAAGAACCACGTCTGCAGCCATAGCAAGGTCATTCCGCAACCCAGTGGGAGGGGGGATAGCCGAATTGGAGTGTACTGAGCATTTTTTGTCACCCACCTAGCACGCCATTGATAGCTATACTAAGCATCAGTAGCAGTAGTATTACTGCTTGGAGAATCGAAACAAGTTGCGTACAGCCATGAACAACAGCCTAATGAGCTTGGCAAACTCCAGGTCGATCCTCGGGGATTAACTAAGCAAAGGTGTGGCATCTGGAGTGCCCTGTAGCCATCCATGCCTCCCACCAATTTATGCACATAGAGCGGCGGACCCTCCCTATCTCATACCCACTGCCTACACTGACTCCGGTCCAATCCAAGCAGGTCATTCCAATCGCCACCGGGCTCTCAGACATGCAGCATGACACCAATCTCTCAAACAAACCTCCGACTTGCGGCTTATGCAACTGGCTCACTTCAGTCGTGACTGGTCATAATCTGCCGCTCTTGCAGGATCTTGCAGGATGGCTTGGGCTTGTCACATTTGGGAGTTGGCGGTTGGAGGCTTGAACCCGAAGAGGCCCGATCCCAGTAAGCCTTGAGCGGCGGCGCATCTGACAGGCACCGGTCCAGCCTAGCCTTGCGGAGCAGTTGCAGTAGTGACTTAGTCGTGCTCAAATTGAGGCTGAGTTTGGGAAGTCACAGGCGTCCAGCAGAGACCCCAAGCAGAAGAACAACATCTGGCAGGCCAAATGCTCCATACCCGGCAGGAGCATGATTGGCATGCAGAATGTGGAGGCGGAAACGCGCGGGTCTGTGGCCGGAACACGAGTCTAATATGCACAGCGGCACTGTGACGGCTGAGTAGCGTGGCCCTGCCGGGTCTTTCAGAGACGTCGAACGATCTAAGATGATTTCACAGCCAGCCTTTAAATGAGCAAGGGACTGTCGGGAGCACGACTTCCACGCCGCAGTGCACGACACAGTGGCGAAGACGTGATTCACCAACCCCGGACACGCCCCGGAACTGCTTTACCGCGGATGCCTTGCAAGGAGGTCATCGAATCCCTGTACTCCTAACGAAAGAATCCCGTAGCGTTAGCACTGCGAGCATGTTTTGGCGCACCTGTGGGGGAATGAGATGTTTGAACCAGAAAACCCAACGTGAACTCTGTGAACCATGGCCTGAAGGGTTGCCGCCTCCTTGATCAGCTCAGCATCTTCCCGGAGTGGCAGAACCGCCGCTCTGTATCTTCCAGGCATATTGAGTCGGGTTTAGACTGTCGACTCGTGGGTGCGTCGTGGAGTTTACAGGCAAATTGGACGAGCGAGCCACGTTGAGGGAAGACAGCGACAAAGCAACTGTCAGACAAGACTCTGCCTCACAAGAACCGAAGGACGACTCGTCACCTTTAACAACCTTGGCAACCTCGAACGCCCAAAACCTGTGAACAGCGCCACTGCCTTTCAACGACCAGGAGCATCTCACCGAGGTCCTTGTGTGAGGCCATGAACCACGAGGTGACACAATGCGACAAAGTGGCCATGAAACATGCCCTCTGTATCCCCTTGTGCTGTTTCATCAGCACTTGCATTGCCACACTGAGCGCTTCTCCGGGTTGCAAGCAAGCGCAGTTGGCTTGGAAAATGCTTGCGGCCACTGCTCGAAGCTTACCTGCGAGGTCTCATCAGGTTTTGCACTTTCACCGTGATCTTGTAGTATTGAGTGTGACCGCTGCTTCACATGCCAGTTAGCTAAACACGCGAATCTTTTTTTGCAGGCCGTGCGGCAACCTCTGCGAATGGCAAGCGGAAGGAAGCCTGGCAGCGAATTCGCCGCACGCTGGCTTTCCGCGTGATGAACATGTTTTCGTGTCTTCAGAGTCAACCGGCGAGCCTTGTGAAGTGTCGGCTCGTGAAGGAAGAGCTTTAGCCAAGCCGAAGCGGCAGTTGCTGCCAGAGCTTGCTCGATGGTGCCAGTGAGCCGGAGGTGCCGTGCCTCGCTCGTAATGTAGATGATGATCCACACCTAAGCCGAAACCCCCCGCCCAATGCCTCCAACCCTACGAGACCCGGCGGCCCGGGTAGCCCGGAACTGGATGAGGGCCGGACTACACTGGTCGCCCAAGCGCCGACTAAGACCATGGTGCCGAGCTTCACCTCGGTACATGTTTTCCATTCGGCAGTTGACCATTCCCTAGCTTTGTCGAACGTGGGGAACATGGGCACAAGCATGGACAGGAAACTCAATGAGTTTCTCTCTCTCTCTCTCTGCCGTTCCTTCCGACATGATCTTTTATCTACATGCGATGCGAACGTCTGCATGAGACTTGGCAGATGTTAGATGTTGGCAGGGACAATGCATAATGCAGCATCACCCACAGAAGACTATCTGCGCAACCCTCCTTTCCCGGCTTTTCGGCTGGTCACGGTCTGTGCTGGCAACCGCCCAGGCCGCAGCCGGTAGTGCTCTCGTCTTCGATCCTGGCTTGCTACGTGAAGCAGATTCACATTGTATTCACATTGTGGGGTCGGAAGTCTTCCGAAACCAGCAGATCGATCAGCCTCCGCTTCGGCAGCTTGGGCACTTTCTGCATCGGGCGTATCCTCGCAACACGTCCCAAAATTTGAACAATCTACGTCAAACCCACCCCGGGCTATCATGCGCAAGTGTGGAGCAGCATCCTCCGTGGGGGCGAAGCTCGGATGGAAGGTCAGAGTGATGTTGCCGGCTGCATTCTCAACCTGAGCTCAACTGGCTTATCGGGAAGTTTCAGGATGAGAGTCAAAATGTGGCAACGACAGTGGTCGGGTACCGGGTGGACTGAACCGGGCATCGAGGACAAAGGAAGCGGTTCGACTCACAATAGACTGTAATTCTAATCATCTATAACCGGTAAGTGCGATCGGAAGGTCGTCACTGGTTGGCGAGCCGTCACGCCGTCGGCCTTGGTAGCATGCGCAAGTCAAGCTCTGGCGTGCCTGCTAATTACACTCTGCTACAGGACTCTGCCTTGTCCAGCAATTTCGCACCCTTTGCCAGAGCAACACGTGTGATACTTGAGCGCTGTCCCCGGCTGTCCCCGTTGCTTTAATTACTGTGTGAGAGAGACCGATGTTGACCCTTGCTGCCGGCGATGCATTGAGTGTGCACAAACTTTCACAGCATCACCGAGCATAAAACCAAATCGCATCCGTTGTGCCAAGGCGTTGCTCATCGTTGCTCAATCCTTCCTAACTGCCGGAGTTTGGCCTGCGGTCTTCGTCGCACCGCGACTTCCCCATCAGCGGGCTAAGTGCCACAGCTATTTGCCCAAGCAACCATCCGGCATTCAAGCGCATATTGAGTCAGTGCCGCCAAGTATGTCCTAGAGGTGCGATTGGAGTCGTTCTAGCCTGCTGTGCTGTTGTATTGGATCTTGTGCGGAGACTCTCGGATTTCGAAGCGCCCCGGGAGTGCACTTGAACTCGCGGTCTTCCACAGTTGAGCCGCATGTCTCCACTCTGTCTCTCTCCTTTGCGCGAAGCTTCCCAGCAAACCTCCAGACAATGTAACGATCGCCCCTTTGGCCAGCCAAGAGTGTGCGCTCAAAGTAAGGAGTCCTCGCACTTGCAAGGAGCCACCGTTAGCCAAGCTGCAATGCCGTCTCAGTAGGCCCACATGTTCACCAAACCTGCGACAAGGCACTGCTTCGATCAGGTAAACAGCTCGGAAACCTTCACAGCACCTGCCTCTCGAGGTCTGTTCGTAAGCTGTACATGTCGATGATCCGAGCAGACCCAGAGGGCTCTTCCCACACAGTTGTGCCCTCTTCGGCATTGTGGAAGACTTGCATGGGACGACCATTACCTCGACAGCTTGGTCTGTAGAGCTTGGACTTTAGAGAATGGAAGCTCGGATCGATTGGCGGCACAAGCGGCTAAACCAATCAAGGCGGAGCCAGACCGGCTGCGACTCCTGGGAAACCGTATCACGGAACATCTGCGGCAAGTCAGCACGAACTCACATGTTATTAGATTCCTGCGAGCTGGAGCTTGCAGCGTCTTGACTGACCTGGCCAGGGCAGCAAGCCCTCTTTCAACGGGAGACAAGGCTTTGCTTCAATCTGACCGTGCCGCAGTCTGTCTCGTCCAACCTCAAGGCTGGCGAAATCAGATGCGAAGGAGTCAAACTCCTGTCGCAGCTGCCTGGAGCGATTTCTCTCATGAAGGATTGTGCCCGAACCGCACAAGACACTATCCACACCACACAACTATCACTAGATACCAGCATGCTCTCTCTTCGCTGATCTCCCTCCGATTCGGCCTCAGCATGCTCGCCGCACCAGGCTCTTGGCGCAAGAGTCCAAGGACTTGAGGCAGCTCGAAGCGTTTCAGGTCCTGGGCTGACAGAACGTGAGTGAAGCCCGAGCACCAGACCTCACCTACCCTTCCTCTTCCCGGGTCCCAGCGTCCGCACTGAGCTGGGTCTGGAGTTGGTGACACTCTGGCACGAGCATCTGCAGCACTTCCGCAGGCCTTGGTGCAGATGGAACAGCAACGTAATGTAGGCCTGGGCAGGTAGGTGGAAGTCCGGTTGCAGATCAGGGGCAATGCCTCTCCTTCCGTCCCATCTACTCTCGGAGAAGATTCCTCACCTGGTGCGACTTCATTCAAAAATATTCAAACCAAGCACATCTGCCCCCAAAAGCTTGCCACAAGCAAACCGGCCACGAACACGAAGCAAGCAGCAACCACTACCGTTACTTTCCAATAGCGGGGGGTCTACACATGTCAAGTTGTTCGGTCAACACTGTCGGGACGAAAAAGGCAACACTGTCGGGACGAACAATGCAGGAAACCAGTTCTCATCGCGGAAATCATGTTGATCACTTTGCCATGGCAGTTTGGAGAAGAACTTCATGGTAATTATGACTGCTGCGGCTGCAGCAGTGGCTTTTACACCGGGGTTCTGCCAATACCTAAATGACCTATTTTCTGACTACAATCACGACGATGATGGCTACAGGTCCCAGTGCTGCTGCTGCTGCTGCTGCTGCTGCTGCGGCAACGATCACTCGACTGCGGCTCGGGACAACTCATCTGAGAATCCCGCGCACGACAGAGAGCTGTCTCTGCATCTCGCTTTCCTCAGGCGGCTCGTCGCCACGTGCGTCCTGGCAACACACTGACATGTTCAATTTCAGCCTGATCCCCTGAGCCAAGTTGGACATGGTTTTGAGCAGACGCTCCCCGTGAAAAGGACGAAGCAAATCAAAGCTAATTACCACTGGCGCATCTTTAATTCAACCGGGGCCTGGTCTGCCTGGGCAGCGAGAAATCCGAAGACATCCAGGAAGAGCACGCTACCTTTGAGGGGTTCGAGTCTTTTGTTGAGGGACCTCAATGGTCATGGCACTCACAGTGCCACAGGCTGGTGCTTTGTGCTGCAATCGTGCCGAAAATACCGTGAATCCGCTCTGCGCCCTCACTTCCATTCGCACCCTCACCCAGGACAAGAAGCGGTAGTTCGTGGGAAGCTCCACGCTGCCGAATTTCACGCCCCGGGCCACACCCCTAGGCTCAAACAAATCACATCGGACAACCGTTACGTGACTCGTCGCTGCGATCTAGCAACCAAGTGAAAAGTATCCAAGTAAGATGGAGGAAGAACGCCAGTGGGACCATCACTCGGTAACAGCCGATCCTTAGCCGGGAGCCCAGTCTCTGTCCAAGCACTCAAGGTTCTGGGGCTGAGGAATTCAAGCCAAATGGCATGAAGGATGTCGGCTGGGCTGCCCAGATGCGATGCAAGCTGAAGCTCCTGTGCTTCGGGATCTTCTAGGGGATAGATGCTCAATAGCGATTTACATGCCTTCGCATGCGAATCAGCTGTTCGATGCCCAGCCGCACTGTGACCAGCGTCGGGGGCAGAATCAGGAGAACTGCGGCGACTGCCAAGATCTTTCGCGAAAGGTACAAGTCCAACCTGTTGACATTGGGATAGCTCAGGAATTCCCCGTGCATGGCCTACTTGCATGTTACCATAAGAAAACTGTCTGCATGCGGTGGTCGTCCAAGCTCGCCTGGCCAAGATCCAGGCGCAACCGGTAAAGATAACCACGCACGAAAGCGCTGGCAACGGGACATCGTTCACAGCCACGAGAGTGCCCAGCATCATATAGCCTCAATGGCACGAAGGGGAAGTCGCAAAAACAAGTTACGGGACCTGGCGAAAGCTTGCATAATTTCGACATTGAGACGACACCAAGCGTTTAGCTGCCATTGGGTAACTTGTTCGCCATCTAAGTGAAGCTAGTTTCACAAGAAGACATGGGCACTGCAGGATACGAGTGCAACTTGAACAGCTGAAACCACCGAACAACAGCCCGAGCCTGATAAGCCTGGCCAAGAAGCTGAGGGTATACAGCAGCCTTGTATCATCTCGTGTCAAGGCACAGCAAACTTGCAATTGCAAAACAAAGATTCCCTTCCCGCAGGGACAGCTGGCGCTTGCATGCTGTGTGCCATCATGTTTGTGGCCAAGGGGCTGGTTGGTGCCCATGGACATGCAAACACGGGCATACGCATCGAAAGACTGCCAATTCGCTTGCGTCCGCCGGTACAGCTGAACGTGTTCCAAAAGCATCTTGGATGGCAGGTCTGGGTCGACTTCGAAACATCTACGACACCAGATCTTGAAAAATCTGCTGCACGCCAAGACACAACTGGACTAATGCTTGGGTCCAGATCCTCCTCCGACCCACTCATGGAAACGCCGCCAGATATCTTGGTCGCTCGACAGTAAGATGTCACCATCAGCTGACAAGGCATTTGGCCGCGTCTCATCTGCAAGCTGCTACAACGACTTCTCTTGGGGTCCTTTCAGCTTCTTGGACCGAGGAGCCACTTCGTCCTCGTCCGTCTGCTCCATCGCGTGGTTGAGCCGCTTCAGCTGTTGGCGAAGTAGCGGCACGCGGAACATCTCACGTGCCTTAGAGGAAGAACAACCACTCGTCCTGCACTTCCTACAACGCAGGCACACACACCTCCTTGCCGGGTCGCAGTGCTACCTTCGTACTGCTGCGCTTGGAAGCGGCTCTTGTCCAGGGTTGCATCCTCCGGATTTCGTTACAATGTGCAGTAGATAGCATCCAGGTCCGACATGCGGAATGTAAGCATGCAGGCCAAGCATCGTCTGGAATTGGAAGACGCACGAACTGGGTAAGCAAACCTCCAGCACGGTTTGCGGTGCTCGGATTGCTCTGTAATCTCGCTGTGCCAAATAAAGATCTACGTCGAGCTGCCAAATAGTGTAGGCCCTCTCTGGCAACTTCTGTACTGATATCAACCGATTCCATCGAACGCTTGAGAGCCCTGGGGTGTTGACCCCAACGGGCAAACTGAGTCAAGGACGAACTCCGAAGGCATGTGCCGCAACCGAGGCATGAAGGGCCAACCAGATGCTCAGCAAGTAATACCTCATTCGGTCCAGCCAACTCTAGCTGCAGGCTCCCCGTGGACCTACGCGGGTTAAGCCAAGAGGCAAGAAGGCGCCAGCATTGCAGATGGCGAAGAGATGGATCAGCCAAGTTGGCCCTACGTCCTCACTGGTATGCGGAAGTATGCCGGGTTCACCCATCAATCGCGAGCTCAGGTTTGCAAAGTAAGGCCATGGCTTTCTCAGGCCGCCCTTCCACATACAGTGTCATGCAGAAGCCAAGTTGAAGAGTGCTCACAATCAAATAGTTGTCCTGAGCAAGCCAGCAGCCGGATGTGACGGCAAGGACTGGAGGCCAAGTGCCGTGGAGAATCCATCTTCCTGACGGTAAGATTGACCAGATCTCGCACATCTTCACCTTCGTCTCACGGCATCAGATGGGTCGGTCCCCAGGCCAGCCCCGAGTACACATAATTAATCATAGTCATGCCGTTAAGCACTGAAACGGCCCTCTATGCCACAGGGTCGAGGCATGATGATTGGTTGCGAGTTTATTCAGCCTGCTGTAGGCGCCATCCCAGAACATGCCCTATTTCCCTGGATTCTGGTCATGGGTTCTGTGCAAGACGATCTGGCAAGCAAGGACCAAGAATGTCCATGTTCCACATTGAAGAGCGGCGGTACAGCTTGGACTGCTCCACTCGCATCTTCTGGGCTTGGTAGTCCCTCTTGATAAGAAGCTCCTGTGCAGGGGGTTAGCAGGAGGTGACCACGATGCGGCCAAGTCCAGGCCTTATCGAACATGTAGTTCTCCCGGTTATAGGAGAACAGGCCACCACCGCCCGCAGCGGCAGCTCCAAAAAGTAGCTCCATGGCTGCAATCTGGATCGACAGCCTCTGACTGTGTCCTAAAGCAGATGAGCAGCCGTACCTGTAAGTGCTGCCGACATGAAGGGAACCTTTGTGTTTAAACTCGCTTTAAAGTACTTCCTGCGCATAAGTTCGCCTGCCAAGCGTTCGGGCTCCCGCATCTGTTGGTTTTGCACCGTATTCCCCTTCCTGTGCAACTGACCGTGCGGTGCGGATCAACGGCTGCAGAAGTTCCTAAACTGTCAGTCAGTCCAATTGCAAACCGGAGCCAAACCTGTTCGACAGACCGTCTGAGCCCGCAGCATGCGACTCTCGAAGGGTGATGCCGGGGGTGGCGCGCGGGGAGGCGCCATAGACATTGGGGGCCCTGGTGGCGGCCCTGGCGGAGGCCCCGGTGGGGGTCCTGGAGGTGGCCCCAACGAGGGCTCAGACGCGGTGCGGGAGCCATAAAGGAGGTCCTTGCAGCTTGCAGAGCTTCACTCTGTCTTCTTTCTGGAGGAATTTCACTCGCTGAAGTGATCTACGTGCATTGGTGCCAGATCCCTGCTCAAGCCGGAGCAACACTGTTGGCCTGTGTCATGCCTGGATCTACGTGCATATTCACACATCATAAGTATTTTTGAAATTCCACTAAAACTTCTTCTTATCCAATTTCATTTCTTGCGCTTAGCATGAACCTTCACCTTGGAAAAATCTCTTTTGGTTGAATAGCTGCCGGGCTCCTTGAGATCCGGATCCAAGGACTCAGCCTCCGGAGGGGTCGCCGCAACCTGACACGCAGAGGAGTTTCCCTGAAGGGCTCCTGAAATGATGGTTCTAGTTATGTCATGTTATGTGTATATGTATACATGTCTGTGTATAATTATATAATCATATCGAAAACACACACACACACACACACACACTCTCTCTCTCTCTCTCTATCTATATAGATAGATATCTATGTATGTATATATACCTGTTACTGTTATTACTATTATTCGATACTTGAAAAAGGGTTGCAAAACTGGTTTTGTAATTTGCGAGTAAAAGCCACAGCGCAAGTGCGGGGGTAAGGTCGACGTCTCGACAGTGAGGCCCACATGTGCACACCTTGATCAGCAGCAAACCCGGCATTATTGTCTCCATACTATTCGTGAACTAGTCTGTGTTTTAACATCTGGTGCCTCCCAAGCGGAACCCGAAGAGAGGAAATCTGGCAGACCAGGTAAGCCCCCGAATGACTCCTGTGGAAACCGAGTAGGCCTCTGCTGGCAAAGCCGAATACCCAGCATGTCTGACGACCGTGTTACAGCCCAGAAGTAGCCCAGAAACCGAAGAAAGAAATGGTTACCCCAAGCCACAGGTCCACCCATCCTGTGATTCAGGCTCTAATCCTTCCTCTTCCACCTGAGCTCAACGGCGCCGCCTTTGCCGCAGGGGGAGGAACCCAGGCGCCCGGGCTGCCTGCGCAGATGCACCACAGCACTTTTGGAGGAGCTCAGCTCGGCCTTCGACTCTCGGCCACAAGGCTCGGGTGCTCACAGGAGATGGAGATCGATGGGGCATTGGAAATGTGTTCGAAACATCTGTTCAAACTTTGCTATCTGCGCTGGGTCTTAGTGGCGCCACACCCCGGAGCCTGTCCTGGAAGTTGGGCTGGGTTGCTAGAATTCACTTCTAACCCTTGTTTGCATCCAGCCTGCAAGAGCCTCTGCTGGGAACCTAACGAGGGCTTCACCCTGCTAGTACTATCCCCGCTGCTCTTACCAGCATCTTGCTTATCCTTACCAGCTTCTCTGCGCCAACTCAAGCTCCGTAAGCGGTTCCGAAGCTCAGGACCAAAACGGACACAGCCATGTGACCCATGCCCGGGCTCGGCAGAGGGTCCGGCCTCTTGTTGGGGCTAAGGCGTGAGGAGTGGTGTCAGTGGTGTTACTGCAGAGTCTGGAGCTGCATGCTGCTGCTCGTCTGCGCGTCCAAAGGTTCCAAGTTCAATCTATGCTCGCACAGAGCTGGGAAGCACCAAGATTCGCTCAAGGTCGACTGCTTCGTAAATAGCTTGCTTCCGCTTTTTCGCCAGGGTCCCCAGAACGGCGAGTGAAGCAAACTAGTGTCAGCAAGCAGTCTCGCGCCCTGGGCACCGGACCTCGAGAACGTCGGCAGACTTGCAGCGCGTCAAGCGCTGGCTAAGACTCTCGGGCACTGGGCTTCCAGCATGACGAAGAAACAGTATGCACGCCTGGTATTCCGGCTCTAGCTGTCGTTGCAACCGACGAACAAGCGTTTTATTCTTGCAAAGATCTGTGCGATGTCCACCAACAGCGTTGAAATGACCAAAAACTGTCTTTTCGGGGTATGTATACCTCACTCCAAGGAAAGCGGCGACAATCGAATACGTTCTTTCAGGTTGATGGAGGAACTCTCGATGCATAGGTAGAAGGCGGCCAAAGAACAGGGCCATCATGGAACGCAGGTGCTGCGATGTGGCAGTGGCATCCCAAAGCCGACGCATCGCATCAGTTTGGCGTTCCTCCCATAGTGCGGAGGCACTCGAGAAGCAGCCTTCCCGAGTGCTTATCGGTGAGGCAAGCAACTGCTGCTTGGCCACTTCGAGGCCCAAGCCGTCGTTGTGGTTGTGGCAGTAACGGTACTCCATAAAATGGCGCTCTAAGCGCCCAAGCGGGTCGCAAACGCTCATGACTACCTTGGCCTCACGTACCAGTGCAAGGCCCATCCTCGCCAGGCCGTACGCAAAGAGAGTCGGGGAACAAATGCCAGCGAGACGCGGTCGAATACCTGTCTCCTGGGGCAATGCAGAGCAAGGTGAGACCACCAACTAACTAGCAGGTGCTTCTACCTGCAACTATCCATCCACATGTCCAACTCTTCCCCAATGCCTCAACCCAACTAAGGACCCAACCGGATTTCGGCTTGCAATTCAGAAAAGGGTAATTATCCTGCAACTTCTTGTCTTTGGCCATTTCCATTCGGCGGTTGAATTCCTGGACCTGCGACTTGAGGGGCAACAGTCGGTGAACGACCTCAGATGTGAAGAAGAAGTCTTCAGAGGTGGTTGAGAACGCAATCTCCGGATGCTGATTGAGGTTTCTGTGCAAAGATGTCGTGCCGCAGTTGTCCAGGCCCGCGATTGCAAAGTCCAGCTGCAAGGATGGCCAGTTCAGCAGCTCTTCGACCACCACAACATCAGCCGAAATGGCATCATTCAGCAACCCTGCCACCTCCGCTCCAAATAGTTTCTCTGCCTCAAACTCTGGAAAAATCCTGCTGACGATCGCTTTTCCTGTGCAATCGTAGGGCACACACATGGCCAGCCGTAGGCTGGGCGGGAGAAAGCCGGCAAGAACGGCATCTTTAAGGGTTGGTGGTGTGATTCCGACCACTTTCTCTAAGAAGACCGAACGATTAGAAGATGGCAGCAGCTGCAAGAGCTTCGGCAGGTCGACTGTAGCCTCCCAATATCGGCCACCGTGGACGGAGCATCCAATCATTCCCTCTTGTGCCTGTCCGAACAACACCTCGAGCCAGGAATCGCCATAACCCACATCATCCAGTTGCAGCTTCGCAACTCTGTCGGAGTCGGACCTTCCGTTGCGCTGATGCTTCAGAAGAAACTCCCAATACCAGTCAGGTCTATGATCTCTTGGAGAATACTCAGTCGGCACGTCGGACAGCGTTCGCCATTTCGCAACATCTGCCCCATATGCTGCAGCGCATGCATCGGCAAGCTCCTGGCCCTCAGCCCAGACGCGAAGACCCGTCGACGCAAGGGCAAGGGCTTTTGCTGCGTCCATGCCCCGAGCGTTGAACCGTGCCATGGGCTTGTTTTGAGGTGTTGAGCCCGCGAGCAATCGCGAGCACTCTCTGTCTCTTGGCCTATACCCAACCTTTCCATCGTGTTCCGGCCCCCCAAAAAAAAGCTTCTCAAGAGGATTCACCCACCCCGGACCCCGGGCCTGACGGCGGCACCCATGCACCAGGGCTCGCCACCGGCGGAGCCTCCAAAATAAGCACATTGCACTCTTAGAATGGAGAATGCGTGTGCAGTAACGATTTCGCCAACATTTAAGGTCTAGCATGGCTGCGCCGAGTTCTGTGTAATGGGGGTGGGCATCCCTCACTAAGAAAGGTAGCCCTAACGATGTGCTGCCGCCATGTCCGAATGTAGCTGAACCCTAATAAACGTCTGCGTACCAGGATTTTTGGCGAATGCATGGTTCTCGTTCCTACGTTAAGTTATAAGGATGCATGAAGGCCTCAGCCCGTCAGCTCACTGTATGTACACTGTAGACAGGTCAACAGACAAACAGCGAGGGCAGCGAGAGCAAGAGAGAGAGAGAGATAGAAAGACGAGGAGAAAGCAAAACATAGACAGGAATAAACTGCCAACAGAGACTGCCGTGTCCGGAAAGCACTTCAATGCATAACAACAAATGCCATCCTCCGACTGTGTGACGTGTGTCCGGCTGAGATGCCCGCATATCCAGACCAGGTTGGCACTCCCCAAGGCGGTGGGGCACACTGCCAAAGGCCAGGCGGCCTGTTCGTTTGAGGGGCCAAGCCAGCACACTCGAAGCTGAACGACCCGGCCCTTTTTTGAGGAGGGGCTGCAATGCACGCCCTCCGGTACTGAATATCTTATCGCAGATCGTACCTACCCTTCACATGCTCTCATGCCCGCCTCACCTCGAAGCTTCAGCACTCGTGGCTGAAAACCCCAAACTCGTGCGCTTTGTGCACATAAGGCTCCGGCATAAGATGGAAAGTCCTAACTGTAAAGCGTTTAGCATACAAACATTTGCAGCATCATACCGCTGTCTCGCCCTGAGACTGAGAAACCACGACATCCTCGATTACGAACTGGAATGGCAACCACGACCGAATCATCAATCTTTGTGGCCATTAGGTTGTCAATGACCTCTGACCAGTTCAGAGAAGGCCCATTCTGGGAGTATGACGGAAACCCATGAGCCACATCCAACCATGCAGCAGTGAGTACTCCATCGTGAGCATGCACGCTTTGTGTCCATGCCGAAGCATGTATGAGAGGATCCGCCTGCTGTCTGCATCCCGATCAGATGACCCAGAAGAGTTTCCTTCGTAGTCCTCTCAGTATTGGGAATGTGGTCAGTGAACCCAAAGTATCAGACCTCTGCCGCACGTCCTCCTCGAAAGGCCAAGCTCCACCACTCCCTGGCTTTGGTCCTTGAAGCGATCTTCCAAGCGCCTCCGCTCATGCTCGTACTGGTTCCCGTCCTTCGACGGGTGGGTTTTGCCGCCTCGCTTTCCTCAGGATGACAAGCGCTGCAAAAACAGCACCAACTCGGCACTGACGAAGTCAAGGGAGCCAGGGGACAGGGTGTTCAAGAGTCGGGAAAATGGCATGGTGTTCCCAACCCATCATGTTAGACCGGGGGAACAGGCTACATCTGAAGCTTGCATGTTTTCCCTGTCTCTGCGTGCCATCGCTCCTGTTCCCGATAGATTCCTTACTGCCTTTCCTTCACGGCCCCGAAATTCGACAGAATGTCTGAATTGCAGCGGCGCTGCTTGTCAGACCCATTCCGCGGCGGCGGGGCACTCGCCTTCTTGGCCTTTGGCCAGTCTCCAGTGATGCAAACGGATGCCTTGCCTCTGCATGCTCTTGCTCTCAGGCTCTAGCGTAGCCTCGAGAAGGTACGGCCTGGACGGGGATGTTACAAGTAGCTCGGGCCCAGGCTCCCCCGGCCCGGGGACATGTGCACATCCTGTGCCGCACTGACATGTTCCATGCCTGCGGCATCTCTGACGACTCCTCTACGATTCCGAAGCGGCCTCAGGAAAAGCCGAAGTTTCTTGTCATACAGAGTCATACAGGTTTGACGAACGAGCCCACGACTCAGATCTATCTCCGGCGCCTCGTTGTACTTCCGACCTTGATGAACGACCGGTTGCCACCGGTACAAAGTACTGAAACTCGGCGTCTGCAGCACAGTTTGCTCAGAAGCCAACACGCTTTCCAATAGACCTGCAAGTAGCAAGTGCGCCTGGCCCTTCCTTTGACAGTTTTTGTTCACACACGATCTGCCTCTGCCTCAAGGCCAGAGTATTTCTTGAAGATGGACGGAAGCCTTAACAGCTCGCGGACCCAGGTTTGCGAGGCGGAACTATATGCTATTCCATTGTGTCACGTAGTATGATACTGTACTATGGTGTAGTATCTTATCTTAATGTGAGCGGCCAAGATGCTTCAGCATTTTCGATGGGTTGCAGCGCTCGTACACCTCAAGTCGTTGCGGGACAGCACAAGCATGATATCAGCTGCTGCTGCAAGGCTTGCAGCTACGTGCAACGGCAACTCCTCACTGTTGGGAGACGGCAACCACAAAGAAGATTCGGAAGGGGAAATGAGCAAGGTACTGCAGAAAAGCCATGGTACAACAAGCACAACTGAAACTTAGCAGCACTCTGAATCAGAGATCATGTTCGATCATCTCATATTGTATTATGATATATTATACGATGTTACATAGTATACTACATTAAGCATCATTGTACCATAACATACTACGTTATGCTAGATCATACCCCGCAGTGTTCGGAGCCCCTCTGAGTCTCTGTGAGATCCTGGCACCACGGATGAGCTCACGGAGCAGAGCTGCATCCGCCTCATCGATGGGCTCCTCTCAGGTTCCGGCAATGAGACGAATGTAGTATGTCATGTAAAAAGTGTGTGTATATGTATATAGGATTAGATGTATATGTATGCATGTATACGGTATACATATATTCTACTATTTTACATTGCGTTATATTACATTGCTTGCATTACATTACATTATCCTTTGTTATAGGATAGTATGTTATAATATACTACATTACCTTATGTTATATTATGGTTGTTTTATTGTTTTTACTACTACTACTACTACTACTACTACTACTACTACTCTTATTCCTATTTTTACTGTTATATATACATATATATATATATATATAGTACTATATGCACTATATTGTAATATATACGTACATATATATATATATATGTATGTATGTATGTATGTATGTATGTATGTATGCTCATACATACATACATATATATACATATATGTATATATGTATGTATGTATGTATGTATGTATGTATGTATGTATGTATGTATGTATGTGTGTGTATTACACTGATGCATCACGCTCGCTACCGCAACAGGGCAAGTATGCGGTGTCTTTGGGTTGATAGCTATGGAAATCGTGCTCCAATTCGCTCGAAGTCACTGAATTCCTAGCAATGTGGGATTGCGTAACTCGTTCCTGCCACGTGCGAGGTGCTCTTCCACTGGCAAGGATATCCTTTCCCTCAGCCCTTTGACTCTCCATACCAAGTTCCAGTTCAGCGCAAACGACAAGGAGTGCTCCGACTTGTCACCCAAAGCTTGTGCAGAGCTCACACTCCCAGAATGGGTTGACGGCTTGGGCAGGTGTTTGGCAGCGGCGAAACGGGTTGGAGTCCCGCTTCAAGCAGCCAAAAGCAAAGCACACTCGCTACGCAGCGCAGCCGCTTCCTTGCTGTTCCGCCTGGAGAAGGCTTGTTCTTGAGGCCTGGGTATCAATTCCGACCGCTTGTCGAGCTTGATATCGATGGGTGGCGCATGATGGAACCTGATATTGGACCCGGGCGTGTCGAGCTCCCTGTCAGACCTGCTGCCTGATGCGGCCTGCCAGTAAAGGTCGGCAGTCCCCACTTCGCTTTGGACAGGCCATGACCGCTTTGCAACCGTGGCTTTGCTGCAGCGGTCTTTCGGCTTTTTTCAAACGTGCTTGAAGAGCTTCTTTGGCTCAGGTTTTCTACACTGTCGTGGTCTCAACACCTGCGCATCAATCTTGACTATCTTGAAAGAATGCCGGCTTCCAGGCCCCGTGAGACAGCCTCAGGGCAAAAAAGCAGAGGGCGCCGTCCAGCTATGTACAACTTCATATGTACAAGGTCTGATCCTCATTCATTCATGTGTCGCCAACTGTAGGAATATACTCTTGTCTAAGAAGCTGGAGCTAGTGCTCTTGTTATGCGGGTTCGACGTCGCGAGCAATGGTGAGAAGCTCTTTTCAGTTCATCACAAATCAGGATCAGGTGAATTCAGCGGGAAAGCGCAAGACTCTGTGCATGAGTTTCTCAGTGACGTACAGATTGCCTGCAGCTGTCAGATGTGTCACGAGGCAGGTGAGCAATGAGCTCCGCCAAATTCCATCCAAGAAACCAATCGTCTAATTACAAGTATTTGGATTCCGAGGAGCAGTCGGCATCAAAGCAGATCCTGAGGGTCCGATTCGAGCAATTCTCAACATTTGCAAAGGCCGGTTGTGGCTGACGCAGCCCGCCAGAACCTCGAAATGCTCTGCTGAACCTATGACACCTCAGCTTCCATGCCGAAGGGCCCGGTGGGCCCTCTGATAGAATGCCAGTCCTCCACCAGTTTTCGGCTGAGGCCACGCTGCTCTGACAATACTGAGACCTGTTATCGATAGAGCTGGCTGACGGACCTTTCCCATCCCTCGCCCCGGGGTTGTCCGCGAGCTCAAGACAGGGTCGGAATAATCTGGAAGATGCATTCGGTGGTGCAGCCCACTGCCCGTCCTCGATCGAACCGCAACGAAGATCAATTCTCACTACCTTGGTGTCCGTACTGAAACAACATCGGCAAGTTGCCAAGGTGAGCCAACAATTGCAACTCAACACTTGTGCAACACAAGGTGCGTTCATAGTCTTGAACTGTCCCACGTATAGGAACTGCCCGCATCGTGCCTGCAGTGCGTCTGTCTGTCTGTCTGTCTGTCTAACCATCCTGCATACTCAATTTTGCACCAAGAGCCAAGAGCATCAAACACCTCCGACAATTAAGCTGTGTTTTATCCTGTGTGGAGGGCGAGAAGGACCCCTTCTCCGGCGAGGCTATAGCCTATAGGCTTCCGCGAGCATCAACTTTTATATCGCTTCCAATTACGAGCTCAAGTCTTGAGGAAGCTCTGGTTTGTGCAAACTTCGTGCATAGCGGCATAGCATGAAACACCGGCAAAGTAGAGAAACATTTGGAATGTTGATGCAGCTGACATGGAGCGCGCGAAGACACAAGCACACCCGAAGAGGCTTAGGTCGGTGGCTCTCGGCTTCGGCAACTTCCGGCTTAAGCCCTTGGGAGCAGCCAGTTTCCAATCCATGCTTGGGTTTAGGGCCTTCGGGGTAGCGGATTGTCGTGGCGTTCGGTTTTCAATCCAAACTCCGGTTTCAGCCCATGGAAGGAGGAGAATTTCGGCGGGTTTCCAATGCCGCAGAAACTGTGAGAAGTCCGATAGCAACTCCTGGACTTCAGAGAAAGGTTGAGCGGCTGGGTTTGCTCCGCGACGTCTGCAAAGATCTCGTTCTGCTTGACCAAGGCTTCGGTTTCCGGGCCATGCCGGCTGCAATAGTGATCAATAGTGCATGCGCATTTGTTTTTGTTGTCTGTCTGGCTGCTTGTGAATACGTATGATAAGGTGTGTGTGTGTGTGCTATGTTTCTGGCTTAGGGGTTTGCAGAAACTGCGCTTACGAAGGATGCAACCATCGCGATGACTGCAACTTGAGAATGACTGGGCTTTGGATCAGCTTCCAGGGGTCCACCTTCTGCGCAGCTTCCGCGCATGTCCCCTAGCGCCCTGAAAATATTCAAGATAATGATAATCACCATGATCATGACAATGCTGATGTGTCATTCCTCTTCTCCACATGACGCTAGTAAAGCTGGCAAAGGCTCGTGAACACGTGTATGATGCATGGAAAGGGCAAGAGCCTGATAACAGTAAGCATGGTCGTGTTGCTGACGAGCATGCCTCTTGACAAGGATGGGTAGTTCTGAATTTTGCTGGCATATTCCAAGAGTGCAGGTAATAGCTTTTCCCATGTGCATCAAGAAAGCACAGCAGATTCCGCGCACATAGTCCCGCGCAAGTTTCTTCGGCCGAAACGATTCATACCGCTCAGCGTACAGTAGGGTCTTAATGATACGTACAAGCGCATTAGAAAAAAACGGGGATCAATTGGCGAGTTGAAAGACATCGAACAACTCGAAATCAACGGATGAAACCTGGCCAGGACACAAGTGAGTAGGGCCCGGCAAGCCCGTCTGCGACAATGGACAACTCGCCACGCGGAGTTCGACAGAGCACTCGCCCGGCCGTCCGGTCCGCAACTAGGAGAGAGCCACCTTCAAGCAGTGACATGCTCAATGGTGCGGCTGATTTGCACACATCTCCCCAAGCACCCCATAGTCAAGCGCCCTGAATCACTGCTGCCAGGAGCAGCTCTGAATGCCTTAAACCATTTCCGACATCTCCCTATCCTTTACATCGGTCCCGAAACCAGCGATGGTTGTGCAACTTGTGCCTTGTGATGCACGCCATCATGACAACTTACAGCGACCAGTCTACTTGCATCACCCAGCCAGAATTTCAGAAATGACGCTTCTACCATTCCACCAACCCGCGCAAACATTGCCAAGTTCACCTGGGCCGAAGGTTACGTCGCAGGGCCGCTCCAAAGCGCGTCCACGACATGTGTCGCCTTGCCGGATCAGTTCCTCGAAACCACCTGTGCGTTTGAAGTGGGGCTCGTTTTTGATGAGATTCTTTTTTGAATGCAGGAAAAGTGCTAATGGCAATAATGACCGTCAGAGAAATAGCAATTGCACTGGTCGTAGAACGGTATAGAGGCAGTAGTGCTACTGGCTGCAGTGGTGATGTGACTTGCATTACTAGTACGGCAAGCATTCCGTTGCCGTACATGGCGGGCAACAGTTACGACCCGAGAAAACTGCGCATGTTCACAGCTGCAGATAACGTGACAAGATACGGACCTGATCTAGTGTATTGCATGTGCTCAACTGCCAGAACGTGCACATAGTGGCAGCTTGGAGGGGATGTAAAGGTGGGTGTGCAAACTTCGGGACTGGAAGCAAGCTGCTGTGCGGCTTGGCCAGTTTATACACCAAAAGGCATGGAGGCATGTGCAGCACGAACTCCATACGAACTCCCCACCATATCCACAACCACAGCGACATTCCAGCACTGCTAGGCATTCTTGCTGGCCGGACTTCATTCATGTAAACACTATCTGGACAGACACATCTTGACAAAACCAGCCGTCCCCCACACGCAAACATTCGTTCTGAGTTGTTTCCCACATCCTCAAGATGTTGTCAGCGATCCGACACCTTGCACTTGTCGTCTCCGTTGGCTGAGGCACAAGTCAAGGACTCTCAGGCCACTGCATGTTAAAAACAACGCGAACTCACGTTCTCCCTAGTCCCATTTCAGGAGTGGCCACGCAAACACACACACACACACACACACACACACCAACACCAACACCAACACCAACACCAACACCAACACCAACACAGACACGCAGACACAACAACACACACGCACACACCCACAAGCAGACACGCAGACACACAAACCCACACAGACACAGACATGCACAGACAGACAGACAGACAGACAGGCAGGCAGGCAGGCAGGCAGGCAGGCAGGCAGGCAGGCAGACAGACAGGCAAACAGAAGACACACAGACAGACACACAGACAGACAGACAGACAGACGGACAGACAGACAGGCAGGCAGGCAGGCAGACAGGCAGACAGACAGGCAGGCAGGCAGACAGGCAGACAGACAGACAGACAGGCAGGCAGGCAGACAGGCAGACAGACAGACAGGCAGGCAAACAGAAGACACACAGACAGACACACAGACAGACAGACAGACGGACAGACAGACAGACAGAGAGGCAGGCAGGCAGACAGGCAGACAGACAGGCAGGCAGGCAGACAGGCAGACAGACAGACAGGCAGGCAGGCAGACAGGCAGACAGACAGGCAGGCAAACAG